CGTTGTTGTTTTTTGTCTTTTTATATACCGGACGATGGGTGAAGTCCAAAATAAGCCAAAAGAAGTACAGTATACACCATCGTCAGAATCCTTTCAAGTCTACCAGTGATAAAATCTGCAAACTGCAAAAAAAATTACAAGATAATAAAAAGAAAAACTGTAGAAGACTTTTAAAGGAGAAACACACATTTTCATACATCCGTTACAAGAGGAGTTGAATAGTAAGATTCATGCAATGTCCACATTTACCCTCAGAAAACACACCACTAGGTCACCTAAAGAGTCGGTGAACCTCAATATACATGTATTTTAAACATTATAATGATGATTAAGTCCCCCTTTCCTCTAATAATATTCACACTAAAAATTTTCAGACAATTTAAATCTACATCTTATTCCTGGAATATGACATGTTATTTTGAAGAAACAGCATTTGATTTGATGTACATGTGAAAAATCAGGGGCTGACAGAAGTAATGTTGGTCTAATACTGTACCTGCAAAGAGTACAAGTTATGAAACTCCTCTTTATGTACTTTTCTTCAATCTCCTGTAACTTCATCTTTTTTCAATCCAAATATTCTCAACACCCCATTCTCAAACACCCTCAGTCTATGTTCCTCCCTTAATGCCAGAGACCAAGTTTCACACATACTGAGCCATATTTACGTGTACTATCATGGCTCCTTTTGGCAAACCCCCCCCCCCTTTCACCTTTCCTTCAGAGTTCTAGTGTTCTAGAATGTTGTCGTCCATGCTTACCACGTGATCCCCCAAACCCTTTCCCCTCCAGCTGTTTCTAGCTTGTTTGGAGTTCTAGGAAGGAGGGCAGGGCAGAAGCCCACTCAGTTACTAGCAGTCAGAGGAGGAGGTAACGAAATTCTGTTATGATTTGGTTGGTCTAAATTCGGTTTGGGGTTCATCTTCTGGCTGGGGAAAGGTAGCATTTCCCTTGGTATTGGGACGACTGGTAGCTAATTTGACGTTTTCTTGGGGCATTTATCTTATCTTGCCTGGCATTTTTTTGTATTGCCCCAACTTTATAGCTGAGCTGTATTTGACTTGTTAACAAGTTAACTTTATTTTGGTGAAATAGAATGCACCAAAATAACGTGGGTTTTAATAGAAATTTTAATGGATTTTATCTTGTTTTACCTTGAAAAGAGAACTACAGTGTGTGATTTTAACATGATCTAACACAGTGTAGCAGTTTAAACATAATTTAATAAAATATTTGTAACATATCAAGACACCAGAAGATGACGGTTTGGAGCCAAAATATGTTGCGTCAAAGTGTAAAATGTTAAACTAAAATTAAGATTAAGTGGTAAATAAACAAGTGTTGCAATATTGATGGATGATAAATACATGGACGTTAAGTTAAACAATTGCAACAGGATGCTCAAATACAGAATTTTGTATTATATTTTTTACGTTTTTAGACAGCAGACAAGAAGACAAAAGGTTCTGGTCTGAATGGTAGCAAGCATTACCCGAAATTGACATCCTCTTAATTTCTTCCTGAATTAGGTTTTGATTTGATATTGTCATTCCCAATATCTGAACTGTACCAACATCTCAGCAAAGACCATAGAAAACACTGTTCACTGTTCTACTCCAATCATTTCCGGGGGTACGTTTGTCTGTGAAGGCGTTACTCAGTTATGGCTGCATATACTTGCTTATTAAAATTATGTTGCCTAGCAGCAGATGTTGTTCCATTGTTTTTTCGAGGTTGTTACCCAGTAATGGGTCTACATGCTACAATATTAATAACAAAAAGAACAACTGTAATGATGGTAACCATAACAATGACAGAAACTAAAGTGAGAAGAATAATTTAATTTTAGAGCTTTAGAGAATGTATATACACAAAAATGTGAATTTGATATGACAAAGAACAAAGAATCCTTGTTGGAAATTACGTATAGTCAGACATCAAAAGTGAGCCAAAAGCCACTGTGAACCTACACTACAAACAATAAAACAGACCAATTCTTAGAACTATGTTTGTGAATTGGCACAGCAGATGGGTGTCTTGTGAATCCTTACAAGATTATATCAGTGCATGATCTGGCAGAAAGGGACATCAAGCATGCTGAATATATCCGGTGGTTTAGAGAGGGATGGTTTCATTTATCCGGTTACGTGAACAGCCAAAACAGCATGCTCTGTTAACGACTAATCCACATTAAATGAGGGATACACCAGTACATGATCACACACATTGGAAGCAACCGTGGGCAATTTCATCCTCATTTTAATGTTCAATGAAAGGGTAAAGAATCACTTCATAGTAACGTTCTGAGTTTATAGTGTTGTCAAGGAGTAATGGGCCAATTATCTGATTTGGTGATATGGCGCACCACACACCAACCTCCTGATCATGCATCTTCCAGTCTTGCTAATTCAAAATAATTTCATATAATTAACAGAATTACATTTTTAGACACTTGTTGCACATGGTGGGAAGATAAGCAGCAAATCAAAGTTAATCCAAGCGATTTAGTCCTAAATGAGGTAAAATGGAATTTTATTCTGAAGTTTGTAATTGCCTTACAGAATTATGCATAATGTTTCTGCCATGTTTCATAACACTACCAAATCATGCACAGGAAGTTTAACCTATTACATTAACTGAAATGACAACCAACTCTCTAGGAGTAGCACCCAAAGCTTCTACATCACTGATACCAAAGCCTGCCAATGGACATGATTCTAAGGCACCTCTACACATCTCACAATCTAACAACCTATTTCCCTAAGATTCACTTTAATAGTATCCCCTCATCTGTCCTTCAAAGTCTTTCAAGTGGCCATCCCACCAAAATTCAAAGTACAGTTTCTCTTTCCCCATCCACACTACGTGACCAATGTATACTCACACAGAATAATAATATAATTTGATTTTTGACTCCTCTAAATATTTTATGTCTGACAAGAATTATGCCACTACTGTGGAATTACTGTCACATGACGAATTTGTAATACACCTTTAGCACATAATCACAGAGTTTAATGTCTACTAACTTAAGACAGGTCATTTAAAAATTAAATTAGAAATTAAACATACAGTAATAATGAGAGATGACCATGTAAATTATCACTGCATAAGAATTTTGCAAAATTAAAAAACTAAAGCTGCAGAACTTAGTGAACTGAAGGAAAAAGTGTGTGTTTGCACTTACCTGTCTCTCAAGACAGCAAGTTGTCCGTTCATCTGGAGTTCTGCCACACAATGACCTTCTAACACCTCACCAGAACTGGAAGAGAAAGACAACACTGAATCTTGTTTTTAGAACCACCCTAGTTCAAATCACCTAAAGAAGTTATCAAATTTACATTTTACAAAACTGACTAAATACCTACAAATCATAAACTATCTATACTGTGCGCAGTCAGTCTATTTCCCATCCACTTTTCCAGTTCAAATGACGTGTGAAAACAACAATGCTTAGTTACAGAGCTGTACTGATGCTTCGCCTGACCTGTGGTTCATGTGATATCCTGAATGTGGCTGCATGGACTAGAGCGGCCAGTCTAATTATGTATGTTGATAAAACAATGTAATTTGTCAACACAAATATATATGGGGGCATGACGCCCAAAAGCAGGAATAGTGCAGCCAGAAGAGATGGGGTTTAATAGGCAATGGCTTGGTAAACATATAGAGCAGCAATGAGTACACGCATAACAATAAAACAATAAAAATATGTGGTCCATGCTGAGAACCAAAAATGACTCCACCAGTGAAGACTAGCAGCAATTTATCAAAAAAAAAGTAATGACAGAGAATTTCACAACTTATGAGATAGAAAAATACAAGTCATGGATCCTGCAGGCCCCGAAACCAAGAATGATGTGCTGGCAAGGGCCAGAAGGAATTTATCAGACAGACCAGACAGAGTGGCATGGAAAAAAAGAATATGGCAATGAGTCCCGCAGGGTCAGGAAGCAAAGAATGACTGTGCTGGCAAAGCCACCTGCAATTTACCCAAAACCAAAAGTTAGCTGTCAGAGCCATGGAGCCCGAAACTAAGAATGGATGTGCTGTGAAGGCCAGCAGCAAGTTACTTCATCAAGAAAAAAAGCTGATCAGTCAGGAATCATGAGTCAACAGCCAGTCATGATTTGAAAGTCAGCAATCCTTGTTGGTGGTTGCTGTGAACAGGGAAGCAGTGGAATCTCCACTGTTGAAGCTGCTACCAAGCAAGCTAGTGAAGACATAACAGAATGAGAAGACTTAGCGAGTGTTGTAGTGATTTGCAGTGACAGCATTATAATTATTAGTACATAGTTACAACTCATAAATGTTTAATAAATCCAATTACCAATCCAAACCCTGTGTATAGTCACTAACACGTGACAATGTAATGTGAAAAGAATGAAAAATGTACAGCAAAAATTTAATTAAAATGTTGGAGTTGAGGTTCTCGTGTAGGTGAGTATGAAGAGTATAGTATTTCGTGTTGTAATTCTTGAGCTGAGCACTCAGTTTGCTGTCTGCTTGTGCTGTTTCTTGCTTGGCTTAGTCTTTGATCCTGATAATGAATGTGATATGTTCCTCTGAAACATTGGGATCTCTCCACACTGCATCCTGGTACAATTCAGAAGAGTGTACTCTTAATCTAAAGGCTCTGTTCTGGTTTATTTAACAACGTACTAACTGCAGATATTAGTATAAAATTGGAAATGTAAAAAATATTAAGAATGATTAGTTTAATAAGACTGTGGGAAAGTAGCAGTCATAGCCAATATGACGTATGTCCTGGAGCTTGTCTGCAGTAAGAGGGAAATGATGAAACAACTCAGCCGGAGGAGTAGCCCCTAACTGTAAGGTAGATGCCTCAACATTCTACCAAACCAGTTTGATTAAATTCAGGTTTACTGTACTTATTTCTGCCAGAATGTGTGTTTCACAGTGGAACTGGTACTTTATAGTTCACAACTTATATTTTGTTCGATGCCATATGTGCATGACCTTGTACTCCTTACACTCTATTACAGTTCGCTTGGTCATAAGGTCCAAATTAAGACATTCCACTATCTTTAATTATGAGAACTCTGATAAGGCATGCACAGAATTTGAACATTTAATTTTCATTCCGTTTTATAACCAAATCCTGACCCAAAGGTATAGATTTAATTCCCCTGAAGCACTAAAATTTAAACCATCAGAACTTCATTCCATATATGTGGTACAGTCATTAAGTTCATTGGCTGTGGTTTTATCACATCATTTTACAAGGTATTCACATACACTTAAACAGATCAACATCAGCCTTCAAAATAGTTGCGTTGGCCACTATGCAAGTCTGTCAACGTTGATATAGCTGCCGAAAACACTGCTGAAACATATTGGCAGGAAATTCCCATACAGTGTCTCTTATGGCACTGACAACTGAAATCTATGACCACATAGCTTTGCTTTCAAGTGACGAAAGAGAAAGAGATTGCATGGTGCAAGATCAGGTGAATAGGGAGGGTGGGGCAAAACAATGACCTTTTGTCTCGCCAGTTCCCCTTGGACAAGAACAGAGCCATGTGCAGGAGCGTTGTCATGTAGCAACAGCCAATTCTTCCTATGCCAAATGTTTTGCTAGGGAATTTGCCTAATTTTTAGCAGAACTTGATGTTCGCCTGTTGTTCAAACTGTCACATTTTCAATTTCTGCCACTTGCATTTAACTGCAGTTCACAATAGAAGCCAGAGATCTGCTTCCACTGTTTGCACACAATTGCCTCTTGCTTTGACGAGATGTGAACTGACAGGGCACCATAATCATGCCTCAACCTATCTGCTGTAGTCCACTGCAACAACGCTTTGCAGCTAGTCCACGAACTTATTGTCTATGGTAGTATTTTGGGGGAGAAAATTCATTAAAATGTGGAGATTCTAATATGCAAAATAATATCAGAATATTACTTTTGCGACCTTCTCTGAAGTATCACATCTCTTCAGCAATCTAATTTAGACAAAAGATTCTGAAATGAATGGTAGCCAGACTGGCCTAAATTTAAACTGCTCTTATTACTTAATGAACACAAGTTTTATGTTACAATTATTGCTAAACACTGAACTGTGTTATAATTTAAAAGTTAAATTTAAATTTATAAGTTAGATCTATATCGTATTTTTGTCCTGCATTCTGATGAAGAGATCGGAGAAGAAGAACATCTTCAGTCAGTACTTGTCAGTAATTCTGCTACAATTCTGACTATGTGCCTCCTGAATAAAAGACCAGATAAAGAACAGACTGCTCAGTGTCTTTCAAGAGGGGCAGTTATGCGAATCTTCAAACATCGGTTACAGTATTATTCAATCAGTACTCAGTCCATCCAAAGCATCCCTGTATGTTTAACAAATTCTTCAAAATGTAAATGTCAGAATGTTGTTTTACACAAATCATCATCATCATCATCATCATCATCACTGGCACGACAGCCCTTTGTGAGCCCTGGCCTTCCTCAGGATTGCTCGCCATTCTTCTCTATTCGATGCTACATTCCTCCAGTTCTTTACACCCAAAAGTCTTATGTCCTGCCACACACATTCTTCCCATCTTAGTCTTGGTCTTCCCACTCTCCTATTTCCTTCTGGTTTAGTATTAAGCATTTTCTTGATGGTTCTATTCTCGCTGGCATGTATTATGTGTCCAGCCCATTCAAGCCTTTCCACCTTTATAAATCTAATAATGTCTGGTAGTTTGTATAGCTCATGGTTATACCTCTTCCTCCATATTCCATTTTCTTCCACTGGTCCAAAGATATATCTCAAGATTCTCCTTTCAAATATATTTTACACAAATACAATCCTTCAAACTAGTCAAAAGTTGATTCTCCTCCACCTTTGCTGTAGAATACTACTCTACAGCTTACTTTTATATCTTACATAAAGGAAAATGAAACTGCAATTATTACAATTAACACTCTTTGTTAACTGAACATGAAGAGAGCCTGGGGTACACAAACACAGACATGCTTAATGACAGTTACAGAACACATTTTCACACTGCCAAATGAAAAGAATGCAAAGACTGCAAAAGTAATGATGGCAACATTAATTAATTCTACGGCCCTCTTGTTTTATCTGATGTCGAGTGAATGAGCAGGCGTGTTTGTGTCTAAAGGCTCGTCGGCACCGACAGTTATATGCGCCTGAATAATAATCCAGATAAATCTAGTTTTATTAAACCCAGTATAAAATTAAACAGAATTAAACATGTATTAAATTGTAAAAAAGGTTTTATAGTGGGTAAAAGATAGTCTGGTTAAAAATTCTTAATAAAACAGGCTATATATAGAACAGCCTGTTAGTGAAATCTTAAAACAACAGAGGAGCAGAGCCAGTTCCGAGTGCATGCGCCTGAAGGGCAATCCAGAGAGCTCACGCTTTATTGACCCCGTACACAATTACACAGAATGAAGTATGTGTTCGGCTGCAAATCTTTGTCGTTATGCATTATAATGTGCGCAATCCTGTATGACGAATAAAACGGTAAGCGAGCCACCTCGATCGTTACAAACAGATGCCGGGCAACCTCTTAACAAACAGCCGCGTGTAAGACAAGTGTAACGAATTCGAAGCCACACGACGATAACTTCAGCAGTCATGACGGACCTGTGGGAAGAAAGCCACACACATATGCGGCCGGTTACATGCGTTCTTAATGTCCACTATCTGGATCCATTCGTTTTAACATGACATAACAGCGCGAAGAAGACAAGCACGAACGTCACTACCCAACGCTCGGGCTCATGTTCCCATAGGACGCATTGGCGACCTAGTTTCCTAAGAGATCTGTGTGGCAAAGCATCCAACAAAATTAAAAACTTCCTTGTCTTAGGGTGAGGGAACACGTCCTCGTAAGCTGGCGGCCATCCCAAACCAACCTCCCACTACTCTTCTAACTGCTGTCTTAGGACTCTCGTAATGGCAACACGTCCTCGCTATACAGACTAGGAATGTAAAAGGTAAAGTTATCCCTGTACTTAAATAATTAAGCACTAATGCATGAAGACTGGATGTACAGACCCACGTCTTCTTGACCTCAGCACTAGTCGGAGGTGAGTGGTCAGTTTCACGCTCCGGCCGCTTTACCCCCGGGACCCACTGAATATGAGGCTGGGTGGACCCCAGAGACGGTCTGGACAACTTGGAGAAGTGAAAATTCTTGACCCTGCCGGGACTTGAACTCCGACCCCTCCGTCGTCCAGCCAGCAGCCAGTCGCTATACCGACTGCGCTATCCCGGCTCACAGCCT